AGGCCTACAAGGTAAGGCTTTGCCCGGCTGGATGCTTTTGTGGGATGGCGAGCCTCTGTGGCTCAGGCGAACGGAAGGCCCAAAACCCTAAACCCTACATAAACCCAGAACGCTAAACCCTAAACCCCACTAAACCCCCTCAAAAACTGCAAGCTAGGCCCCAACCCTACACAGCTCTCTAAAACCTTAAGCCCCTGAAACCAACAAATACCTTCGACCCTAAACCCTGGACCCCAAAACCCAAAGCCCTCAAGCCCTAGAGGCCGAGATCTTCAACCTCTGGCCTACTTCCTGGGTTCTTCCTCGGCTTTTTTTAGGGTTTAGGGGTTTAGGGTGTAGGGTTTCCCCTTCTCTAGGGTTTAGGGGTTTAGGGGTTTAGGGTTTAGGGATTTTGCCGTACTATATAAGGAAGGTCAACAGCATAATATCACCCAGTAATGGTCGTACTGCAGTCCCCATTCGGTGATTATCGTATCTCAGACCTAGGTTGAAAACAGGCTGAGCAGAAGACCCTAAACCCTAAACCCTAAACCCTAAACCCGAAACCCTAAGCTAAGCAGAAGCCACCGATGAGGACCTGGTTGGGCTCAGATGCGACGTTTGGCGGGCTAACCTCTCGGTGGACGCCTCGGAGAGTTAGTTTAGGGTTTAGGGTTTAGGGTTTTCGGGTCAAGGGTTAGGTGTTTAGGTTTATAGGGTTTAGGGTTGAGCGGCTTATGATTTAGGGCTTATAGGGTCTCAGCCCCCAATTGCACGCCCTAAAGTCCGTAAATGGCCCAAATCCAAGAGCTTGGCAGCCCCAAGTCCCGACATGATTCGGGTTATATACTCTACCCCAAAACCCTATTCTAATTATTTCGGCTCTGTATTAAAGTCTGCTAAGGTCTGGGGCAAGTTGCGGAGGGTTCGAAACCCTAATCTTAAGCCCAAAACCCTAAACGCAAGAAGGAGGGCCCTGTGAGCTCTACACCTCGACCTGTTCAAATACACCAAGCCCCAAGCCAGAAACACCCTTAACCCTAAACCCTAAACCCTAAAACCTAAACCCTAAACCCTAAACCCTAAACCCTAAACCCTAAACCCAAATCTTAAGGTGCAGGAGGAGATCCGTCATGTCAGCATCTACTTCGAGGAGACGAGTTGGGCCTTTGTGCACGGTTCAGGCTGTGGGGCATTAGGTTTCCGACAAGGGGGTCTCAAAATTTCATCATCGACTTAGAAAATAGTCTTCCCAAAACCCTTGACCTTAAGCCCTAAACCCTAAGCCACATATCCTAAACCCTAAACCCTAAAAATAATGCAGCACCAAATGATAGTCGGGCCCCTCTACAAGGGTCTCGATTTTGGGAACTGGGAGTAAAAAGCTGACCGCAAACATTGTTACGCACCAACTGACGCAACGACCAGTGCATCCCGCAAGCAACCCTAAACCCTATATCCTAGACCCTAAACTCTTAAACCCCAAAACCCTAAAATCTTAAACCCCTAAACCCTAAACCCTTAAACCTTATAAGCCTTAATGAAGCCCTAGACCTCGAGGTACTCCCCAAAGCAGCCCTCCAGGAGCGACTTCAAGCCACCGTGCTGAAGATGAAGGTCATTTCCGAGGCCTCTACGGGTTTAGGGTTTAGGTTTAGGGTTTCGGGTTTAGAGTTTTAGGATTTAGGGTTTAGAGTTTTGGGGTTTAGGGTTTAGAGTTTAGGGTTTTAGGGTTTAGGGTTTAGAGTTTTAGAGTTTTAGGGTTTAGGGTTAGGGTTAAGGCTTTCAAGGCTTTAAGGGTTGATCCTTCAAGGGTTCCCTCAAGCGGTCCTTGAAGGGTTGCCTTAACCTTTAAGGGCTGCAGAAGGGTAATATTGAAGATTTTGGGGTTTTGGGACTAGGGGTTTAGGGGCCTAAGGGTCACCAAGCATCCTTCTAGACTTGGGTTAGGAGTTTAGGGTAGCCTGATGAGGATCCATTGTTCGCAAATGTAGTGCAGTTATCGCTTTATGGGTAGTTCTGTAAAGTTGGGTCGTTTTCAGGTCCCCAAAATAGCACGGCACCGTTCTAAACGGACCCTCAAAGGGACCCGAACTTAGAGCGCTACCCTTATGGTTTCTAAGAAGATGCGAAATTAATTCTCATCGGGTTTGAGTCTTGGGGTTTTACAGCGCCCGGTGAGGGTTCCGTAGGGTTTTAATCTGTGAGCTCTTGCAACAGGATTTTGATGTAGGGTAACCTATCACCTTAAATTACGAACCCGAAACCCTAAAATCTACACCTCAGCGCTAGGACATCTCCAGCGAGATCACGAGCTCCGAGCTGGACAATAGGCTGCAGCGACTGTGCCGCTGTGCCGTGGAACACGGCATGCAATTTCGGGAGGTCCGCCAGGCGTCAGCCGCGGAACTGGAGCAAAGAATCCAGAAGCTGCAGAAGCTTCTTGGCCTCCGCCGCCGTTTTCGAAGTCGGCGGCGGCCCTGGAGCAATGGCTCCAGGTTTACGGCAAGCCGGCCAGACCCGTCCGTGGACGCTTGCTGGGAAAAAACCCCAGCATTGCGCAAGGATTTTGTCGCTACATTTTCAGGTCCGTTTCAGGCAATCAGGGCATCAATGGTACGGCTGCGTGGAGAGGAGCCCCAGTGAACTAGTACAAAGACACCATACATAGGGTTGTATGAGATTGGTTGTAAGTTTCATTGAAGGGTACTATAAGGGTTCTTATACGAGTCCTAAAAAGGTTATGTAAGGACGTGTCATTTAAAATGATGCAAGGGTAGCATACGGTTGTAGGGTTTAGGGCCTTAGGACACTCGCATGGTAGGGGACCCTACTCTGCAACTGGAAAGAAAGAACTTTGTTACAGTGTACCCTCAACGAAGCCCGCTTCTAATCTTAAATTCCCAGGAAGGCTGCTAGAACAAAGTTTTAGGATTCAGAGCCACCAGCCTCCAGATCCCAAGCCTACACCCTAACCCCTAAACCCTAACCCCTGTTCAGGGTCTACTGGGGTGTAGGGCTTAGGGTTAAAACCAGAAAACCCGAAGCCCCAAAGCCCTGAAGAAGTGCGAAGATCCCAAAATCACATGGCAGGCAGCAGCTCCCATACTGCGACGAGCCCAAGAGGTCAGCCAAGAATCGCAGGGTTCTTGTCTACCTACGAGTTATTTCGGGTTTAGGATTTAGCGTTTACTTTAGCCCCTTAAAGAACCTGCCTTCCTGAGGTTCCTCATTATGGTTTCCTTACATTAGTATGGGTCCCTACGGAGGGTAGGTGTTCAAGGGTTAAGGTAGGGTTTATAAGCTTAGGGCTTAGGGTTTATGGTTGCTTCGTTCCTCTTTCGGGGGGAGAGCAACTACCCGGGGGGTTATACACATGTAAGGGGATGCTACTACTAGCACAGACTTCTGTATTAGCCGCCACTTTTGCTGGGGCTGGCGTCTCGGGTATTAGACGTGTCGTACAGTTACCCAAAAAGGAGACCCAACTACTAGATAGTGAAACCCAAAGCTCTGAAGCATTAGGCCTGGCCTAGCATAGTATCAGCCCTTCGATCCCTGGTACCTCATCCCAAGTTTAAGCTTCACCTAGGCCTGTCTGTCTGTCTGTTTGTCTGTCCATTTGTTTGTCTCTGTGTGCTGTTTCGCACATTTGCGTGCGAGAGAGAAGGCCCGAGAGAGAGAGAGAGAGATATATATATATATAATATAAATAGAGTTTGGCAAGCAGGAGCGACAACAGGCATGCTATAAACCGCCACTATCCATGAGCCTTAAAAGGAACCTTATTGAGAGGGTCTATATCCCCAAAGGTCCCCGCTAATCCTAACTCCGACAAGTGTCTCTATCTGCTACACCTGTCCAACCGTTGGAGCTCACACACTTGCTTTGTGTCTCACGGCATGCTGAGCCTGCTAGTATGATTCACCCACAACTGACAGGGGTTTAAGGTTTAGGGTTTAGCAGCACACTGTGCAACAACGACCCGAACAGGACAGTAACCGTGCTGCAATCGGGCTTTCGTCCGTCTTGCATCTGCACCACAGGCACATGCGACTTCGGTTGAGCCGTCGTCACACACCCACCCGACTGCCCTGATGTTCTTTTGAATTTCCAAGGCGCGAAGGATTGACCATAAGCCTTGAAGTTCGTACGTCCAGATTTTATTAAAGTAGCAACATACCGTTTAAAGGCTTATCAGGATCTGGGAGGCTAAGCCCTAAACCCCGCTCCCTTCTCGTGATACGGTTGATGATATAAATCCTGCATGACCCATAATAAGGAATATACCATAACTTCCCACAGCTTAGAGACCTTAAGGTAATGCAGGATTCATATCATCAACAGAAAACCCCAACCCTAAACCCTTAAACCCTAAACCCTAAACCCTAAACCCCTAAACCCCTAAACCCCTAAACCCTAGATCCCTTTAAAGGAACCCTAAACCCTTCTTTGGAGCCCGCTTTTAAAACCCCTAAACCCCTAAACCCCAAAAGTAGATCATCATCTTCGTGCCAGCTCTTGTTCCCCCCGCTGCGGAGGAGCTCCAGCAGAGAGAAGCCCGGGTTTGGGCCTCAAAGCTAGGGCATGCAGGGTTTCGTTTTTTTGGGATGCTGGGGTTATATATACATGTATATATATATATAGATATTATAGTTATATGTATATATATATATATATTATAGTTATATATATATATATGAGTATGTATATATATATATATATATCGGGCTTTATAAATAGGTATAGGAAGCTTATAGGGATTTGAGGGAGCTGGGTACAGAACTTAGCATTCTTATCGCGGGACTGTTGGCTTTAATGAATACTCAGACTCAGCGAAGCAGTCGACAGGGTGTAAGTGGTTGAAATGAGCGTAGGGAAGCGTTGAAGAGGTCATCTGCGGTTTTGTTAGTACTCAGAGGTCCAATATCGAGTTCGGATCTTACTGTGTTCATGATTCATGGTTAGGAATAGCCTACTATTTCTCAATCCGAAAACCCCAGACTCTAACAGAAACTTAGGGAGAGTCGCCATCATCTTCCTGTGGTTTCAAGAATGCGCCGGTCTTTGCTTCCGCAGAGCAAGCCACGGGCGACGATACCCGGCTGGTTTATGGTGGACTACGTCCTTAAACCAAAAATCCTAACCCCGGAAGGAATTATGTGTAGGGTTCAGGGATTTAGGTTTCGAGGGTTTAGGGCCTTCGAAGGAGCAGTTGCGTTGCGTTGCTTGTGCTCGTTAAGAAGAGGCTGGCAGTCTAGAATGAACTGTACCTGCCGTGCCGGCCACATGCCACAAGCCCTGCGACACCGGAACTGCCCTAAACTCTAAGACCTTATTAAGGAGGCCCTTGAGCCCTCAAACGGATTTGCGTTGAGGGTTTAGGGTACATGTTTAAGGTTCAGCGTTTCGGGAACCCTAACCCTGAACCTTTGATGCGACTTTGCTTTCATGATAGGGCCTACAAAGTCTGCAGCTAAGGACGAGAGCCAAGACCCAACGCACTCTGCTGTGTTGCCTTTTCAAAGGGCACGCTCCGAAAAGTCCGAGAGCGAGAGGGCCCCGACGTTGAATGAAATCATAATTCCGTAGCTGTACTATACGCCGAGATCACACAGCACAGGGGACCAGAGCGTTTCATTCGTTTTGAGCTATGTTTGCCAAATACAACATCTAGTCTCTTTGTTCACTTTGTCCTGATGGTGCTCAGTTTACACCTTGGGATATTTCCAAGGAGTGCTTCGCTGTTGCTGAAGCAGCAGCTGCGAACTTAGTTCAATGAATGCAGCGAAGGATTATTCTTCTTGCTCCATTGCTTCTGCTAAGCAGAAGCTGTTTCTCGAGTATGGTGGAATCAAAAATCCCTGGGTCTCTGCATGCCTGCAGGTTGCATAAACCCGAAACCCATCTAAACCCTATATCCTAAACCCCTTTGAGTGACTCAGCGATGTAGGAGAGTCGAGGGAATTCGGTCCAAACCCTGGAATTCCTACGATGAGGCAGCTGTACTCGCCTGAGCCATCACAGCGAATTGCACATCCCTAGAGACGGGAAGTGCGCGTAATCGCTGGTTTAGGCGATGTTGCACTCGACTATGTAGCCCTCTGAGAGCCCAAGGCCATTGGATGGGGTGTGCGGGTGAGTTTGTGCAGAAAAAAGCGGATGTCTGCATCATCGGAGGCGCGGTGAAGTCGCATCTATTTTGCTCCACGGGCTGCGAAGGCATAAGGAGACCTGTAGGCAAATACGATTAAGCTTCGAGCATCTCCTTTGCTGCCCATCCGGAGGCGCTTGGCAACCTGTATGAGTATTTCCTGAAGCGCAACGGACGGAGGCCGGGACAAGCTGGATAGTTTAGGCTGCAGGACACGACGACGACGATGTCGCGGAGGAGGCGGGCGACGGCGAGGGCAACGGCGGGGGCGAGGGCGAACACGAGGAGGAAGAAGACGACAAAGACTGTGACTAGCAATGACAAGACTGCGACCTTACTGTTGCGACGTACTAGTTAGCCGTCGTCGTAGTGGAGGAGGCGGCGGCGGTGGTCGACTTCGTGGTCGTGGTAGTGGTAGTGGCAGTGGTATAGTGGTAGTGGTATAGTGGTAGTGGTATAGTGGTAGCGGTAGTGGTAGTGGTAGTGGTAGTGGTCGTCGTCGTCGTCGTAGTAGTAGTAGCAGCAGCAGCAGCACCAGCAGGTAGTAGTAAGAAGCACTAGCAGTAGCAGTAGGAGTGGGAGTAGGAGTACTATTATTTTCTATTGCTGTAGTATTATTATTATTATTGATATATTATTATTATTATCATTATTATCATTATTGTTATTATTATTATCATTACTACTATTATTATTAGTATCATTCTTATTATTAAGTTATTGTTAGTAGTAGTAGTAGTAGTAGTAGTGGTCGTGGTTGTTGTTGTTGTTGTTGTAGTCGAAGTAGAGGAACCCGAAGTACATGTCCTAATGCTATGTCTGCAGGTTGACAGTACTTGGTGCCACCAGTGGCGACACAGGGGGGGCCGCCATCTACGGGATGCGAGGGAAGGCCTCTTTTCTTGAGTCATTGGTGCTTCATTTGGGTCTCCTAAGCCCTGCAGTGCAGGATTCAGGGTGTTGGGTCCAGGAATCGGCGTTTGGGTTTGGGGGAAGCAGACTCCATGGGTTGCCAGCACAGAGTCGCGATTGGGCTAGGTTCCGTGAACTCTTAGTTGCAGTAGCTGGCGACTTCTTCCGCACAACGAACAAGAGGTTCCGGTCTAGATTTTTGCATGGTTTCTGAGCAACACGAGGTCGTCCGAAGCCCAAATCCCGAAACCATGGGCTGTCCATAAGGACTCTTGTGCTTGGTTCGATTAAAAATTCTGGCTGCCCAACTGGAGGCATCCTTTGGGATTCTCATAAGCTCGCATGTTTTGGAGTTTGGGGTCCCATGTGCTGCCCTACCCTTCCTATCATCCTCTCAGCATCTGCTGTTGTGGTTGCAACCGTCAGCTGTTTTCTGCGGTCGTTGGTCTTCTTGCTACCTGAACTCCCCTGAAGGTTTAGGGCTTATAAGGTTTAGGGTTAGGGTGTCAACGTTACCGACGTATGGTGAACGTCGGTCGTGCTGCGAATTTGCTTGCGCAGGGTGTGACGAATCCGTATGGAAATCTTTGGAGCCCGAGTGTACACGCCGGCCGACACCCTGGGTTTAGGAATCAGGGTTTAGGGATTTAGGGTTTAGGGTTTAAGGGTTTAGGGATTTAGGGCTTATAGGGTTAAGGGTTTAGGGTTTAGGGATTAGGGCCCTCCAACCGTAGACTGCCCGAAACGGCTCTTATGGACTGCTCGCCGAGAATTGTAACTTATGAGCCCAGAGCCCTAGAGTTTTTCTTGAGCGCAGGAGAACGTGGACTGTTTCATTCTGTTCCCCGAAGGACGGGCGCGAAGCTCAGGAGCAGCAACGGGTGGAAGTGTAGAGTTGCAGGTTCAGGGGTTCTCATATAAGCGCAATTCTCCCCTTCGGGTTCCTTTATGCTTATACTTTTGAATCTAGTACATCCCAAACCCTGCTGCAATAATTGAGGCCTCTAAAGCAGAAGGTGTTCGATGCGAGTTCACAAACGGTTCGATCAGGGCCTGGAAGGATCGGAGGCCTACCTGGGCGTGTTACCAGAAGTAGGGGCCTTAATGTACAAGGTTGGGGCGTCCTCAAAATCAAGATCCGACTTTGTCAGATCGACATTGCGGATGACGGCTTCAGGGTTTCGGGGTTGGGATTGGAGGGCTGAGGGTTTGGGGTGTATGTGCAATGCAATTGGACTTTGCATCTAACTTAATTTTGACTTAAATTTAATGTTTTAAAGTCTCTTACTAACAGCTGCATCAGGTTTACCTTTGGGGGTCGGGCCACAGCATTTCGGAGTAGAGTTTCGAAGGGTTCGTGAGAGCGTACGGGGGGATAGGGGTGTTGTGTCAGGTTTAGGGCTATTGTAAGGTAGAAGCCGGAACAGCTGCCAATATTATTCCTTAGTGTTCCTGAATATATATATATATGTGTGTATGTATGTATGTATGTATGTATGTATGTATGTATGTTTGTTTGTTTGTTTGTACATATATATATATACACGTATATATATATATACACGTATATATATATATATGTATATGTATATATATATATACACATATAGAGTTCTAGTATAACATGACCCCAAACCCAATTCTGATGATTCATGCCCCTGTATGAAGAGCACCCGTCTGGAGTGTCGGATTTCTGGCTCTGCCACGAGCTTGTCAGCAGAGTGTGCAGGGCGACAGGATGTGGCGGCACAAACCCTGCTTCCTGGGTAGTATGAGGGAGACCCCTTAACGGGACCTTGTTGAGAGGGTCTATATTCCCAAGGGTCCCCTAATCCTAACTAATATGGTAGGTTACTGTCCCTCTGCCTGCCCTAGGAACCCATAGTATAGTTGCGCACTGTACGGGGTTTCTTAGCTTGGGAGGGGGGAGGGAGGTCTTTATTCGAGGAGGCTCGACCCCAGCGTTTCGAAGCTTTTCCGGCGGCGGGCAAGGACCCCTGCACGAAGGAACCCTCTTAGTCAGGTATGCAGGGTTTGGTTTTAGGGCCCACGATTCTCTCAAAAAGCACTGTATTAGGTATAACTCTGGTCTTTGAGCTTCCAGGAGAGACTTCGGTCCTAAAGCCAACACCCTAGACTCTAAGCCGTCAACAGAATCAATACCGACTTCGTCGACCTAAACGAAGCAGACTAAACCCTGGAACTCTGAACCCCTCGAATTTCGAAACCTTCACAACCAGGCATAGGCCCCTAACCTACCCTGAACCCCAAAACCCCAAAACCCTAAACCCCCAAAGCCCCACAACCCAAATAACCCTCAAACCCCTAAACCCTAAATCCCTAAACCCTAAACCGCCAAAACCCCTAAACTCTAAACTCCCAAACCCTAAACCCCTAAACACCACGCGCACTCAGGTCTCCCACATTCAGCAGCAGCAGATGACCAGCGTGATGGTGCCCTGCCAGCTGACACCGGAGGGCTTAATATAGGGGCCTCAAGAATTACCTATTCTATTTTGGGGGGCCTCTCATTACACTCCCAAAAACCTCATATTATCCCCAAAACCCTGTTCTAATTATTAAGGCCTCTATATAAGTAGGTTTTTGTTCTTGAGTTCTTGCGCTCTTTAGGATTATAGGGCTTTCCAAGGATTCTGTAAGGGTTCTATTATTAGGGTCTGGGAAGGTTCTATAAGGATAAGGCTTGAGGGTTGCTTGGTCCGGGGCTTCGTCTTCTTCGCCATCGGGCTGTGACGCTCGCTGTAGACTTAGGCTTACACTGGGCGGTGTTGAGGGCTACATCCTCTAAACCCTCAGGGCCTAAACCCCAAACCCCCATGCTGAAGTCCCTAAACCCCATAAACCCTAAGCCC